CAAGTGACTTTGAACTCTCATCTCACGGAATTTAAAGACCACGAACTGGTTAAGACCAAGAGAAACTCCGATGGTCAAGAGTGTTTGAATATACCTCTTTCTTCGGATGCACTTCGACAGCTTTTGCTTGATCTCAATCAGTAGCCTGAAACTGTATCTCTGATATGATTCATTTTTATTGCTTGAACGAGTTCACATATTTATTTGAATGTTATAGTCAGCACTCACAGCTCTTATTATATAATCATAATCTGATATCATCACAATTTTCTTTCTTTATACAAACCTCAAATTGAATCTATGGGTAGGGTTGATTCCAACACAACGTAAACAAGACTGCAATGTGATGAAAATTCCCATTAAAACAGTGAAAACGCCTATATATGAGTGGCCAATATCAATGAGAGATGACTCCTATAATAAGCTTCTACAAACAAGAAAACTAAACAGTTGTTTCTCTTCTTAAGTCAGCATCAGATCATTTCCACTGAGATTAGGACGGAGACACACCCGCACCTCGTGCTCTTCCGGGCCAGCTCTTAGTTTTGGGACAAGTATCTCAAGAACTGATCCAGGTCCATCGTAATACGCTTCAATGTTTGCATCTTCCGGGATTCGAGTTGATAAAGAGATCTCTCTGACAAATTCACCTGGCGGGCAATGCTCGGAGGCTGAATCAGTCAGCTTGAATGTTCTATCATGTCTCTTTATGAAAGGTATGCGCGATGTGCTGAGGCATGAAACTTTTATGATTCCGTGTGTGAGAGTGTTCCTCCACGAGACTTTAACGCTGTTCAAATCCACAAAAGGAAGGCTGATTATGATCAAGTAGCCTTCTTCGTCCTCATAGATCGTTTTTGCAGCAGTAACAGGTCCATAAACGTTTTTCATGGCGCCGCTAAACTCGTTTGACCAAGTTGGTGGCTCATTCTGGTGAGCTTCGATAACAGGAGGTGGTGGGTTTACGGTTAAGCAACACTCCTCCTCATGAATCCCATTTGAGAACAAGTCCTTCCTCTTCTTGTGGCTCGAAGGAGATAAATCGGATGCTTCACCATTAGAATGGTTGGATGGTTGAGTTGAGAGATTGAGCCCCGATCCATTGAGTAATTTCTTAGAGTGGCTTGGCGTTGGATTCTTCAAAGGTGTAGGCCTCTCAAGCTCAAAGTCAGTGTTGGGAAGGTTTCTCCACGAACCAAAGTCGCTAGCTTCAGGTGGAATGGTGAAATTCAAATCGCGACCCGTAAGCTCCATCCACCTTTTCCTCTCTTCCTCATCTAGACACGTGAGGTTTGGCAAAGGAACAAGCTCAATCCCATGAACACACTGCGGATTTGACAAACCTCTGTAGTGTTTCCTCTGCATTCTATGAGACCTAACAAAACCTTTCTCAACACTAAATGGAAACAAACGATCCCCTTGTCTCGAATGCCCGTTCATGTAACTCCTCAACTGCATCTTCCCAAGTGCATTCTCAGGTCTTTCCTTAAACACCCACATATACATATTCTCCATATCATGCTGAACTAGAAACACATCAAGCTTCAAATCCGACTTGTCAAAACCAGATATCCCATTACTATCCCGGACGATTTTCGCCTTTGATTTCTCGTTTAACGCAGGCTTGAAGTAGAAACTAAAGAAAAACCAAGCACCCCATACACTATCAACACGTTTAGCACATTTCCTCCCAACCTTAGGCACAACACTCATGTAATTCTCAGTCTCATAAGCTTGTGAACCTAACCCAACATCCAAAATGTCACAAACATCCAAATTCCAAGGCTGAGGAGGAGGACTTCTCTCAGCTGAGAGAGGTAAATTGATATCAGGAGGGCCAGAGAGCAGAGATTGCCTGTTGTTATTATTCATCTCCAAATCAAGCTCCTCATGAGAAGAAGCACTTGAATCCATAGACAAGAGAGTAGAAGGATGATGATTCTCCATAACCAAGACGTCAAACAAAGTATCTAACACCATTTCAGCTCACACCAGAGACAAGTCTCATAGCCAATAACCATAACAACACTTGAAATTCTCATCTTCCTCTCCCAAAGTTAAACAATTGCTAGAAAGAACCAAACTACTTACAGATATATATGAGATGAAGAAACCCAAATCGTGAAATCCTATAAACACACACAAAAATCGAAACTTTGAAGAAGAAATGAAAAAAGGAGTTTTTTTTAGCTCTTGTGGAATAAATAGAGATAAACCCAGAAAGAGGAGGAAGCTAAGATGAGCACGATGCAGATGGTATCGTCATCATCATTAACAACCAAAATCGATCAGTCTCTGTGGATTCGCCAACACAACAAATCTTGATTTTTCTTCTTCTTCCTCTGTTTTTTATTTTAGAGAGAGAAGAGACAGACCCGACGGAGTAAACGCCTGTCCTGGATGGAACCGTGGAGACTTTCCTCCGTTACTTAACGGTGACGATGATTGTTTATTGGTCGCTTCTTTCTTTTTCTTTTTTTCTTTTTTTCTTTTTTTGTGTGTGTTGTTTAGAGAAATTTATGAAATATGTTAAAATTTTGGTGATAAGAAAAGCATATAAAAGATGGATTTTTTCAGCCAAGGTTGTTTGGATTTGTGGTAAATAAAAATTCCGGCAATAGTTCGTCTTCGTGACGGCGTTTTGCTGGCTTTCGTTTCCAACATCGTTTGATTTCCTTAACAGTGGTGTTTGGCTTGCCGTCCGGTGTGGTATCCGGCTTTTGTCCGACATATATTAGCTATCACAGCAATACATGATCGGCTCTTGTCTAGCATCGTCGACTCTCTTAGCGGTGATGGCTAGCTTACGGTTCTACCCAGCGTAGTCTGGTTTTCTCCTTTTTCTGTTTCAGCTTTGTTTCTTTTCCGGCGTGTCCGGATTTATTTTCTTTTGAGTTTATATCACGGTTTCTTTCAAACCGTTGATTTGTGTGTAAAAACTCAATAGGATTTGTGTGTTGGTGATGGCATTTGTGGCGATTTTCTGCTCAAAATGATCTAAAAATTCCAATCTATCATTTGGGTTTGAGGTTTACGGATGATGATTAGGCAATTTGCGATTTCAGTTGAAGATTCAAAGTTCATTCCTCAGCTTATTACTATTGCCTTTAGCTGTATCTTTTATGTTAAGCTTCGATTGGTTTTAGTCAACAGAGGTGGATTAATAGGAGATCTTATTCTCTTTTGAGATTAATGGATCTATATTAGATCCTTACTTCTGTTTTGCAGTTGTTGGAGAAATACAAAAACATCTATCTTCGATTTTCATTCGATACTAGTTTCATTCTCCGGCGGAATCGATGGCTTCAACGGCGAAGGACGATGACGGAAAACTTTTAGTCTCCTCATGTTACACGTATCTTTGATGTTGACACGTGTCTTGAGATATTTTCATTCGATCTAATCTTCTTCTCTAAGTGATGCAATGTTGGGCCAGTTGGATTTATTTAGTCTCTGTAAACCGTTGTATGTTGTTGGGTTTTTGCTCGGTAGCTGTTTATAATGTTTATATCAATAAAATCTTTTCTTGTGAAAAAAAAAAAAGATTTGTGGTAAATAAAGAACAACAACATATTTATGTCTACATCGGTTAGTCTAAAATGTCTTTTATCTTTGTGGTCTTATATGTTTCTTATCACCTTTTCCTCCATCAAACAAAATTTCATGAATTTGATTATTCTGAATTTTTTGTTAGAACATGTAATTCATGTGACTATTTATGTGGTTAAGGTCTCTACTATAATTTAGAGTAACCCTAACCCCTAGCCCCTAGGCCTTAGCTGTACTACATGTTATTTAGATAGAGTTCTACATACAAACATTGTATATCTTATTATATGATTTTGATTTGATACCGATCATAAACCAATGATGAGAAGTAGCAAAAAAAATATCTAGTGATTTATATTCATCACTATTAAACTATAAACTCTTCAATTTTTGATCAAATTATGGCGAAGATCTTTTACTCTCTTTAGGTTCAAAATTCATATCACAACTTTTCAAACCAAAAAAAAAACTCTTTGTTGTCATAGACTCATAGGTTGCTAATTATGCATCATAGATTTTAACAAGTACCTCATGTAAAACCAAAATTTAGAAATTAGAATCGTGCACCGCTAAAAAGTGAAATCCACCGTTAGTCTCCAATATATCTCAAAGCTGAAATCACTGGCCCATTTAGTTTGCGACCCAAACCAAGAGACAGAATAAGTGGAAATAAAGAATAAAAAATTTTGGTGGCACCGACAAACCACCAAATTTCCAACCACTACTCCTATGTAAAACCATCATAACAAAACACCAAAGAAGATCCTACTTCATCTCTCATTGTATTTAAAAATCTAAAATGAAGATACATGACAATTTGATTATGAAGACATGCTATCACAAATTTTTTTTTAAAAAAAAAACCTTGTTTGAAAAATCGCTAGGCGTTAGTCGGGTGCTCGGTATGGGCCTAGCGATTAATCGGAAAATCGGATTAAAATCGGAAATTAATCGGGGACTAGTTTTAGGGTTATTTTAATAATTTTAAAACATATTAATCTAATATTGTTTTCAAAATTATAGTAAATATATAAAAATGTATTTTTGAGACAAATTTTTATGATTTTTATTAAAACATTATGATTTTTATTAAAATTTGAACATAAGTTATTGTAAAACATCACAAACTCTCAATACAAATGATTGAATAACAAAAATAAAAAGTTTTTTTTATAGTTGCAATCTAAAAATAATCGGAATATGTAAGGTTAGGCAGGGAGTAATCGGATTATGCGGGAAGTAATCGGATTAGGCGGAAAGTAATTGGGTAACAGATTATTTTAGGGGATTAATCATTAATCGAGACGGATAGGATGGGCCTAGCGATTAAGCGGGGAGTAATCGGAGTAAGCGGGAATTTTTTGAACAAGGAAAAAAACCAATGAAACAATTTTATATTGTTTTACAAACAAACAAAAAAAGTCTTAAAAGACTATGCTAGATTGCTAGGGTAGTTAAATAATGAGGAAAGTGATTGTTGCATTTGTTCCTCAAATTATACAACCTGTAAGTGAATAGTGAATACTACTAAATTGTCGTTACAAATAACATTTGGAAGACCTATTGCTTGCTAGTAGTGGCCAATTTTAGTTTTTGTATATTCACTCACTTTAACAAATATATAATTTTGACCTTTAGCCGGAGGGAAAAAAAACCAAGCTTAGTCAGTAAGAAGCAAGCACTTTCCATTATTATCTCTCTTCCCCCACCACATTTCATATTAACATAATAATAATGTTCAATAATACAACAACAACCTTCGGCTCCGGCGCCGGCGTCGTCGTCGTCCCACCTCCCGCCGTTTCAATCCCCACCCCCGTCTTCCCCGGCACCACCATCACTTCCAATTCCACCTTCATCATCATCGGACCTCCACCACCGTTCCCAGCTCCTCCACGGAGCATCGACCTTTCTCCTCTCAAACTAATCTTCGCCGTCATCGCCATCGTCGCCGTTCCCGCTTTAGCTTACGCTCTCTTCTTCACCATCCCCTGTTCCTCCTCCCGCCGCAACTCCTCTTCATCTCGCCGCAGCAGCACTTCCTCCGATGATACACCTCACGTCACCGTCGACATCACCCCGCCGATCACATCCGAGACCACCGTAACTCCTGACTCCGGCGGGACAATCCAAAACGATACACATTCCAAGGAGATCGGAAACGAGTGCACCGTGTGTCTCATGGTGTTCACCGACGGCGATGAAATCCGGCAGCTTATCGAGTGTAAGCACGCGTTCCACGTGTCGTGTATTGAAGAGTGGCTTAAGGATCATCCTAATTGTCCCATTTGCCGAACTGACGTCTCCGTTAAACAACAGACCGAAGCAGCCAACGTCACCGTTAACGTTAACGGTAACGTGAATCGCAGCGGCGGAAACCGTCGAGTTTCAGCGACTAATAATAATAGAGATGACGATTGGCGTCAAGGTCTACCTGATGCTTCTAGTTTAGTTTGATTTTTTATTTTTTTTAAATAATTTATTTCTCGATTTCCTTTTTTCCACAAATTTTTTTAAGATATTTCTGTAAACAAATTACGTCAATTTTGAAAAAATTATGTCCGTTAAATTTATTTATTCTTATGTAATTGATTGCTTCGTAACTCCGTAAGCAACTGTGAGCGTGTCTGTGTGCGATGTGAAATCTGACGTTGACTCATAGTAAGCTCATCTAACGGTGTATAAAGATCTCATACTAATCGGACGGTTATTAATTAATCCACGTCTTCTCGTCAAAACGACAGCGTTTTGATCTTCACCAACCGATTTTTTTTTTTTCAAAATTAAAAAACAAAACTTTCGTCTTCTTCCCGGCTTTACTCCTCTTTCTCTCTCCACCGTCGGCTCAGATCTAGATGAACATGTTCCGGTGAAATCGTAATTGTATGATCAAATCATGAAAAGATCTCACATTTCTTCTCCTCGTTCTTATTCTCGACCAGCAATTTCAATCTTGGGTGTTTTCCTCTTGTTTATTCTGGGTTTAACACTAACTTCTCGAAAACCATCAGATTCATCCTCCGGTTTAGCTCCAAATCGGAACTTATCCAGAACATCGAAGATTCCGAGGTTTGCGTATTTGGTAACGGGAACGAAAGGAGATGGGAAACGAGTGAAGCGGCTGCTTAAAGCGATACACCATCCGAGAAACTACTATCTTCTTCATTTGGATCTCGAAGCTTCAGATGAAGAGAGAATGGAGCTGGCGAAGTATGTGAGATCGGAGAAGAAGAAGTTTGAGAATGTTATGGTAATGGGTTCAGCTGATTTGGTTACGGAGAAAGGTCCAACGATGTTAGCTAGTACGCTTCATGGTGTTGCGATTTTGTTGAAGAAAGCTAAGGATTGGGATTGGTTTATCAATCTTAGTTCTTCTGATTATCCTCTCATGCCTCAAGATGGTAACTTTGGTTCAATCTTTAAACCAATTTTTAAAACCTTAAGCCAATGTTAGTTTGGTAATGATAAGTTCAATGGATATTCAAAGTGAAAATGTTCTTGTTCTGTAATTTAAAATCGAATTAGGGACTTAAGATTCTGCTTGTTATATAGATTATATGG